TGAAATTATTTATCTTAGCTCCTCAGTATATTTAGCTTAGTTTTACCAAATGTTGCAAAGTTTTACATCTACAACAAATTATGGACTGTTGAACGAGGAGCGTTCCCATCGTTCCTATAGTTTCTCTTCGTGTAGGTTTAAGACCTGCACAGTTGTTGAGAAGGAGGGAAATTAGGGATAATTGTCAGATCAGAGGGGTATGGTACATGTACTAAGATGCACTAACATGCAGTAACCTTGCTGTTAAAGCATTTCGTGAGTAACGGACTTCTGAACAGAAATTGAATCAAACCTCTTCGGAGTATCGAATGTGATCTTCGGGGAATCACATGGTTTACAGGGAAAACCAAGAGGGGAAAAGTCGTTTACCAACGTGGTAAAACTTTCAATGCTTTGTCAAAATGCCAGTACATGAATTCCCTATCATTATACCATCATTATTTTTTCTGACAAGGCTCCACAGTCAATAAATGGTCTTTGGCTTGATGAGATAAAGCTTGAAATGAAACAAAAAAAACCCCCAAAAACACGCAGAAATTGAGACGTAGGTAATAAAATGATTATTGTATTAACATGGGTTTTTTTTACAAAGATTTTCAGCCGCGAGGAAAGCCGTAACAGCACACGTGTAAATCTACGAAAATACAAATTGCAAAAATAAAATTTAATTGCCGTGCAAGAAGTTGCAGGAACATAACAATATCACGCGAAAACTAAATGGTTAGTTATTATTCAAGGAAGGTAAAAAAATAAGAGGGACATCACACATTCCACAATCAAAGAAATTCGCGTCCTGCGAATTCGCAGTACGACAACTAACGTGTCGTCAGTGAGTTATTATAAAGCAAGGTACCGGCGAGAAAAATCCTTATTCGTGTTTTTGTTTTGTTTGTTCGTTTGTTTGATTGTTTTTTGTTTGTTTGTTTGTATTTTTAATGTAAAAAACCGAACTAATTTTTGAAAGATCGTACCCCAAACACCTGTTATGTTTGCCTTGCCAATTCCAGCAACACTATTGGAAAGTACTTAACTCGGGGTCTGTTATATTATCAGTTAGTAGACTTGCAACGAAGAACTTAACCCAACCAGCTTTTTGAGCTACATATCAGCCACTGAGATTTTCTTGAACTGAAGTTAAGTTTAAGTTGCCTAAAGTATAGCTGGTAAAACATTTGGGAATGCGTGTAGACTGATTTTATTCACGACCCTAACAGAGCAGCAGTTTTCGTCGCTTTTTTTTAATTGACGATAACAAGCACGGAGATTTTCCAACGAGAATTCGTTCAAACTCATATTTTTGTACTGAATTCAAATTTAAGAGGATTATAAACCATACTGAAGTATTAAGTGAGCAGGCAATGTCAAGTTGGCTAATTTTAGTGCTTTATATTACCGAGTTGAAACATGTCGTTTACGTTAATCGGCAAAAATGTTCTCTTGGATCCCAAACTTTACCTGTTATTCGAGACAATACTGATGATGTAAACAGCTACAGAAATTTCTCTTCCGCGGCTGATGCAAGTAGTTCCATGTTGGGGACAAAATTTCTGCAGTCAGCCGGTGCAAAGTGCAATTTTTGCAATTGCTAAGCGTGTCAAGTTAAATTACGGGACCTCTTTTTGGGGGTGAAATCTATTTTATGGAAAAAAATAAGACAAATTATGTAACTTTCAGGTACTTGAAATTCTAAAGTTCTCCTCAAACGAAAAGTAGAATATATGTATTCAGAAAGCTTGCTTGTTCCCTAACATGATACAGTTTTAACCAATACCAATTTTTTTTATCATGCGATGAGTGCCCTTACGAGATTTACAAGAGGTGGTAAAGTTTTTTACGATCGTGATACTCACGTCCTTAAGAAATTTGAGTGCTTGTAAGTCTTCTTTTTTTCTTGAGTGATGCCTATGAGGAAACAACCGTATTATCGGCGCAGTGTATTTCTACACAACGCCTGTCGAAATATTTCCCATCTTCCCCTTTTTAAGCCTTTGTCATGTTTACCTGGCCATTTGCCAACTGTACACAATGCGTTGCTGAAGGTTCGCTTCCAAAGGGAAATGCTGAACAGAAATTGTGATTTTCGCACTCATTACTGGTATATGGAATACGTGGATTCCATTCTTTGTCATTTCGCGGAAACTTCGAGCGATCTTCGTGTGCGACTTCCTTTAAGAAATGATCGTTCACCAACCACAGCTATCCGTTTGCAAACGCATTATTATTTTAATTGCATACAAAGAATCTAAATACATGAAATACACTTTCTATCGGTTTATTAGTCAGCAGTTTTTTTTAGTAACATACACGTTTGCAAAGTCGTAATATTTGACCTTAAATTCGTTGCAAATCTTGTGTAGCCTGATGAAAGCAGGCCGAAATTACTCAAGATCCAAAAGTAAAACAGCATTTACAAGAAGATCTATACTAACTTTTAATTCCTGTTCCTCACAAAATCCACTCTTAACTCTTATCAGGTATCATTGCCTCTTACTTTCCTATTTTGTTTCGTTTTCTCACAATCTAACACATTTGAGACGCCTTCAACCTGAATGTTTTTCTGCAGGGCGTGAAGAAACGAAACTCAGCTTAGACATCGCGTACAATGCCTATTGTTCTCGATACGTTTACTTGCAGTAGCGAAAAAATTATAGATCCGTAATATTAGCAGCGAAAGATATTCTGGAGAGCTTTGATTGGTCAAAGATTACGCGCTCATTCCTCCTTAGGCATTTCGAGCCGAAGTCAAGTATTATTTCAGCTTTAATTATCTTGGTAGGAGTCCATTAGGCTAAAAAAGAGCTGGGTACGGGCAGAATAAAGTGACAGCGTGGATCCTTGTTATTTTGGGAGAGGTAACTTGTTATGACAGGATGACAAAGCTATCAAGTAAAACACAATAACGATAAAAATAGGATATAATAGGTACAAGAAAAAAAAAACTTATAAAAAGAGGTAACATAATAAACAAAGGTGGAAATTGGCCCAAACGTTGTTTATACGCGTTATTGGCGATAAAAAACAATGACAGTTTTACCGATTTGCTTCAACATGTTTAAGGTGGTTACTGCTATAAAAACTTGGGTTCTCTTCGTGTAATAACAGTTACAGGAGCGATATATTTGCAATAACCCGAAGAGGACCTAAAGAGCCGCTAGAAGAAGAAAAAAGAGCAGGTAAAATCTTCAAGCCCCTAGGCTTTGCTATCGTAAATAGTTTATTTTTGTCCTATTAATGGTCCGCTGAAGTATCAGCCACCGCTACCTAATTTGAAATCTCTCACCGCTTTTCTAATTACGACACGAAATGAAGTTTTCTCGCCATTTTCAAAATCGAGTTTAAAATGCTTACATAGGAGGATACAAAAAAGAAAAATTATTTAATCTTCCTCAGGAGCTTTCCATGCAATATCTAAGAAAAAAGCCGAAAAGTAAGAAAAGTCATGGAATTGACAACCAACGCAGACATTTTCGCAATGTGTTTTAAATCGCTGATGGGCTGAGGGCAAAAGTTAAGTTCTAGACGTCTCAATATCACTGGCGTGAAGTTCGTTTGAAATAGAATCTCCGTATTGTTCAATAAACTGCACTTAGTCGTCCGCTCTGTCACCGAATCAGAACATCACTCAACATTGCCGATAAAAAACCTATCAGAAATTTCCGTCCCCTGCAGCAAAAACAGTTCGTGTTACTTAAATTTTGATATCGCTTATGATAAATAAACGATAGGGTAATCTGCTATTGCATGCTCGCTAGGGGAAAATTATAAAGCTAAAATAAATAAGTTGCATCTCATGTGTTTTATATGCTCAGAATTCCGTTAAGGATAATTAGTGTTTACAAACGTTTAGTTATGGGAATCGAAATAATCTTTTCTTAAAAGAAATTGTGCACAAATATTTCTCGAAGGCTTCTCTGAAAGGAATGGGCACGTACTTATTCTATAGATGCCAGTAATGAACGCGAGAATCGCTTTTTCTGTTCAGCATTCTGCTCAGGCAATGGACTTTCACAGTTGTAGAAGGGGCAATACATTAAGCCCAGATGGCAGCTGGCCGGATAAACGATATATTTGCGTTATGCGAAGACTTACGGGCATCCACATTTCGTACTGATGTAGACGTAGGTATAACGGTGTTAACAAAAATGATTCCTTTCGCTACCACCTGTTAAATGCTATTGAAGAGGCAAGCTCTCTGGATACATATATCTCAATTTTTACTCTGAAAGAGAGAAATTCACGTAACCGTTAAGTGCAACGACTTTTTTTTTTATATGTCTCTGATGTATTTGTCTGTACCTAATAAAGAGGTCACTTATATAAAAAATGCTTTGAACCACAGCAAATTGTAAAAATCTCACTTTCTGATTATAGCCTGTAGTCACTAAATGAAACTATTTTCGATGGCCTCCAATTCGGACAAGAGATGTCTGCAGTTACTTTGTTTTTATCTTCAAGATTGGCTTGAATGAAGGATAAAATTTGAAATTTAAGAGAACTTTTTTCGCCGAATGCCGTAAACGCTATGTTTGAATTTATTGGTATCAACAAGGTGGTCAGCTCGTTTGAACTGAAAACAGAACTTACACAAAAAATAGCCAACATGACATTACTTGTTCATTTTATGCCTCGAACTCGTTTATAATCCTCTAGAATTTAAACTCAGAAGCGGCGCTGAAAGATCCAGAAAAGGTCAATAAAGATTGGCTTGGGTTACTAAGTCGGTTAATCATAAAATCCTTTAAACAGACGGATTGAGGGTATGTTTTATTCCATCGGTACAAGTCACGCTTGGCTCGAATTGAAAGCAGAGCTTTGAAGCAATTGATTGGAATACACGTAACAACCCTAATCCAATGAAAATGCCATCATGTAAAACGTGTAAGATGAAAGTTTTGCAGTAGAACTGTAAAAATCAAAACCAAAGAAAGTTTGTATAAAAATTCCTTTTGCCTAGGCAACTGAAGTTCAAATGCGATTGAGACATTCTGAGAGTACGAAAGTGTTATTTTATTATTTTATTAAACAATTTCTTCCAAAGTTTTGCACTTATTTCATATTGGTCTTTCTGTTTTCAACAGTTTTCTCCATGTTTCACGCGTTTAGTAAAATCTGCGGCATTTACACTCTTCCTTCTTGATGTTTAAATAATCGTATCTCTTGGATATTTTACAATGCTTTAAGCCGAAGCAGTGCGGGTATCCCGTGCATGCCAGAAACGGGCAGCTACAGAACACACCATGCGAATCAATACTACGTTCCAAGTGACAGTTATACCAATCTCCGTCAAATCTGATCCAGTGGTGAATCTCCCTTGGTATGGTCTTGCTTGAGAAAGCTGAGTCTTAAAAAATAAAAATACATCCACTTCAGTTAATTGAACCAACTCGATGACAAAATCTTGGTCATCAGGGAGAATTGAACTTAGAACTGTCTTGATTTTCGCGAGATGCTTAGGAGTCTTAAATTCTCGTGCGGCAACAATAATACTCTCCAGAATAACTCGTAAAATAAAGCCTGGAATGATTTTTGTCGAGGTTGCCATTTTTTCGCGAAAAAGTTGTAAAATCCTCGTGTAAAGCTACTCTGCTGTCTATCAGATCTTTTGTTTAAAAACGAACGTCACTTCCGTTACCGTCATGTTTTCCTTGGCTCCTGATGACGAAGACTTTATGATGATAGCAGTGACGATGTTGTGAGTTTTATGATGATATTACTAACAAGGTTAGCGAGTTACCTTCGAATTCGTGTTTACTCCCATCGCTTCTTCCATGTTCCTTGACCAGAGACGATATTAATGCAACGAATAGTAACAAAACAAAGCCTCTGATAATCATCTCGCCTTTTAGAAATCAAAGCCTAGAAAACAGAAAGAATAAACAAACAAAAATAAAAAAAAGACGCACACACACACGCACAACTAGAGGTTCAACTTCCTCTGTGTGGTTTTTGTCACAGTTGAGCTATAACATTGGCTAAATAAGCTCAATTAACTCTATGGAACAGCTTGAGTTAATTATCACAGCCAGTGACAAAGAAACTGGCACGTTTTTTCTTTCTAACTATCGTCATATTCAAAAATTCTGTCTGATACCCCACAGTGCAAATGAAGAGCATGAAGATTTCAAGACATGATTATTTGATGCACTTTCTTCTTCCTATGCGACGTGACCTTCCGGCATGTAACTGCCAGTAGATAACCGCTTACCCACTTGGAATGGCGAATGAATGTGTTTTACAGAAAATGACATTGCTTAGTCATAATTAGTTTTGCTCGTCAGCGGGGAGTGGCAAGTTTCTTCCCTAGGCCGCCACAAATAGACTACAGGCGAAAATGATTAAGGACGACAAACAATTATGAACTAATTTATCTACTCATAAATTGCGAACCAATATATTTTCCCAACCACGACCAAAAATTTTTGAACCGTAACTTTCATGACCAAATTCATAGACCCAGCAGAATAGGCGTACATCACCAGTTGACATGTTTAGACCTTTCAATAAATAAGTAAAAGGAACCTTTTAACCAGTTTGGTTTCTACTCGACTCTTTTTCTTGATTTTCCACGCTACTTACAAGTGCTTCATGTTAACAGGATGTACGTTTTCGAAATAAGGATATCACTTATAACGAGGCCCATGGATATCACTTTGATGCGAGAAGAAATGATGGATAATGCAAAACATATCGATAAACAGCTTGAAAACACTTAAGAGTTTTGTCAGAACCAAGCAAGACACAACTACAAACAACAACAGTAGATTTGACTGAAAGCATTCGACGAAAAAAAAACAATCTGTGCTTTTGTCGAGTCCCTTCGTACAACTAATATTGACAGATGTCAATAAAATGGCCATCGCGTGAAGGCTTTCTAATTGTTTGCCATTAAAAGTTTGATCTGCTGAGTACCGGACGTTAAATCTGACGAGTCTTACCTGGCAAAACATCAAAGCCTCTACTACATTGCTCAAAGTATGTCTGAATACCTTTGGCTTCACGAGAAGTGATCATTTTAACTATAAGAAATATCAATACAAATACGGGTACCAGGCGTTCTGCTGACAGAAATTTACCTGCGTTTGAGTTGGGAGGAACAAAAGCATAAAAACAATAAAAACGTTTTTCTTGCCACAAAAACCCTATTCGATGCAAAAATACATTTTTGCTTCTAGATACACCCCAGTAAATTGTAGGATGGAACTCTTTAGGAGCACTTTTCAATACTGATGAAACCAGTGATTAAAAGTTCTGAAAGTAATCCGTGATCCCGATGGTTTTGCGTTACAATGCTTTGTAATGGGCCCAAAAAACTCACTCAACCCTGTCACACAATCTTAAGAGGCTGAAAATTAAAGAGAACTGAGGACCTTAAGAGCTGATAAATGAGCATTCTGTTTGTTTGTTTTTCTTCAAGATTCCTTTGTAATTTGCTCTCGTGGCAAAAACAGACTCCTCAAAAAACTATTTATCAACAACTGTGCCCACAACGTACAGGTATATATACAGGTATATATGACGAGCTTTACTTTGAAAATATTCTAAGGCTCGTTACGCCATACCCCACACATTAGACTAGACTAACCCTAGTCTAGTTTCCAGTCAACAGCTAGCGGGCAGCATTCCCATCGAAAGTACCGCAGTGGGCAAAGAAAGTATCGCATGTGTTTTCTAAGGGACCGCAAGAGATTGGGCCGTAATAATCCAGTTTCTCCTCTCTTGTCGCCTCTTTTCGATGATTACTTCTTGCAAATTAAATCACCGAGCTTTTGTGACAACTTTTAGAGAAATATGTCAAGACAAATTAGAGTATATATATAAACAAGGGAATGACGAGTCGCAGCGTGGTTATCCCACTTATTCACGTCAATCATTCAACTGCTTAGCTTTACTTATTGGAAGGAATCGTGAATCTAAGTGGCTATTACCCATTAAACTCGGAAAAGGAAACATGAACTGGTGAGATGTCGACGCTTCTGAACTGATCGTAATAAACTTTTGGTTACGCAGGACAAAAACTCACAGAACGCGTCATTGAGCAAACATGTTGGGAAAGGTTTCGATATCTTAAGCATGACGTTAAAGAAAGGGGAAAAACCGTCATTTTTCGGCTTAAAATAGTGTAAATTCTGATATTCCTCCTCTCTCCTCTTATTTGGCTGTTTATTTTTTAGTTGAGACCTCACAGTTGTTTGAAACTGTGAAACGTATGTCATTGCTCCAATGCTCCAGAAAAGAAGTTAACTCTTAAAACCATACTTCCTTGTTTAAACCTCTTGACGTCATGTAGAAGAATTCAAATACTACTACCTTAATTACAGTAGAACCCCGCTAAAGCGAACCCGGTTAACAAGAACGCCCGGTAACTCGAAAAAGATTCGATTTCTCTTGGATTTGAGCCCATTTTTCCAGTAATTTGCTATCAGCTGACTCGAGCTTTCGAAATTACGATTCGAGGCGATTGTTAATGTTTTTAGATCAAGGCTGGTACTTGCATAAAGAAAAGGAAAACTCGTTTTTAATATTGTCAATGGCAAATTTTAGTTTGACGGCGACTTCTTTCTGCCAGTACCATTCGCTTTCACAAAGGAATTTTTTTGTTCTTTGACAGAATGGTACCCTTTTTTTCTTCCTTGAGCCTGTTTTATTTTTTTTCTTTTTCTAACAAGGACTTTTTTCCGCTTTTGATTTTTCCATGAGCAAAGATTTTTCCATAAACAAAGAGCTTCTACAAGCTTCCTCAAGTGATTTTGCAAAGTACGCGATGTAAACAAAATATGGAAATAACACGAAAATCGAGCCCCAACATGAGTGGTTGCCGCGAAAATTCCCCCAGGGGATTCGCCCAGGTCCGAGATTATGACACTTTTATTTGAAATACGTTTTTCTAAATAATTCGGGTGCTTTTAAAGATTTCAGAAATTTTTTTGTGGAAACGCTAGGTTGAATGTTTGAATTCAGCGTAGTCAAATAAAATTGATTTTTTTGGCCTCTGAAGGTGGGAAGTAACCTTAAATGGTTCAGCATCACTATAGGAAAAACTTGATACCACATGCCCTCGTAAAAGCTTTTACGAATCTAGGATTCAGAGAGGGGGTGATTGTTTACCCTCGATTTTTTGTTTGTTTTTTTGTTTGTTTATTTAGTTTAATTTTTTTCGTTTTCATTATTTAGATGTCGTGGCATCAAGAGAAAGGCGCTGTGAAAGCAGAAGGAATGGATTCAGTAAGTTTGCCTCACAAATAATTACTGTACCATCCTAGGCCTGACGGCTTGCTAGATATTCCTTCATAAGCCAAACTTTTCTCAACAAAAAAGGAATTGTCATCATCCCCTTCAAACTCGTTCTGAACTCCAATTTCAAGCGCCAGAGAGGATATACAAGTCCCAATTAAATGTTTCTCGTGTGTCTAACCCTAGGATGGCGAGTAGATGTGAGCGTTAATTTGGTTTTAAATAATGG